ATCTAAAATATTATGCGATGGTTTCGCCACATTGCAAATATTATAATATTTCAACTTTCTTAAATATTATATTTTTAACTTTCTCTAGTAATTATGTAAATGATGTATACGAAAGATAGACCAAGGATTTTGAAGGAAGATACGTATCAAGGCAATTCTTATGTACATATTATTCGAATATTTTGTTTATATTTACTAAGATACACACATATATGCGCCGTATTTCCAAAAATCATATATTTAAACTGTTTCTTCCATAGTAAAGTTACATTAAAATACCATTTTTGGAGTTTTCTATGCATGTAGTGTATTCTCGTTTATTATTATTAGTATTATTATTTTATTATTATTATTATTATTATTATTTTATTAAAAATATTCATAATTCGATTGTACAAACAACACATATTTTATATTATATATGCTAAAATCTTATTCAAATGCTCTGAACCGTTCGGTATGTTCTTCATAAAATACTTGTGTTACGATAGAAAGTTACATAATCATTACGAAAATATACAGAATCAGTCTCCAAATCTCGCCATGGCCTCCAAGATTTAAAAGGATTTCGAGTATTATAGAGAGGATGTATATGCGAACCTAAAATTTGTTTTAAAATAGACACGTTCTGTTGTGCTTTTTCTTCCGATGTGGTAGTTAAAATTAACGGACAGTGTCTAATCCGTGATAAAAATATGCTCCGCGAACATGTCCACTCATTACTAAAATCTGCTTGAAATTCTACAATTATATTTGGTTCTTTAAAAGACGGACCGGCCACATACATATGGTAAAATGTACTATAAATTTCAACATGAAGTATTAAACATCTGTTCTTGCAGAAATTACAAAGTTCTTTGTCATAATGTTCCTGCTCAAAATTTGGTCCTACTAGTATAATTGTTAGATCCCTTATGTAACGCGTGAGATGTATAAATATTTCCCAAGCATTTATATATTCCTTTTCTAAAGAATTTAGTGCTACCACGTGAATAACGTATTTAAATGCATGTGTTACACGTGCGCATGAAATAAGTGGTTCTAGTAAACCAGCATTCTTTATTCCATAATATACTGTTAGCGGTCCTGATACATAATCACAGGAGAAATATTTATAATATATTGCAGCTGTACTGCTGTATTTTGAGGAAAGTTGCCCATATATTCTAATAAATGTATTCATGTCATTAAAAGATTCATTTCGACGAGTAATATTAGTGAATTTTAATTTAGTGAATTTGTATACACTAGTCACGATATTAGTGTTGATATATAACACAAACTGTTGGCATTTTTGCTGATGCAAACCTTGAAATATCTGTATATGGTCAATGCAATAATATTCCGAATAACACGTTCTACAGTGTACCAAATTAATCTGTCTATGACAAATAGAGCATGATTTTGCAAAAAGAATCATCTGTTCTTCATACGGCTTTAGCTTACGTGGAATCCATTTTTTAATTGAGCTTAGAAATTGTTGTCTTAACGTGATCCAATTAGTTAAACTTAAAGCACAGTCTCGACGTATTTCATTCTCTCGTAAAAATCGGTTTATATATTCACAAATCTGCATATGGTATGGACGATGCATCAATTTGTGTTCACGAGTGCAATAAGAGATCATATCGCACCGATTACATGATATAAAAGATCCATTGTTTATTTTCTTGCAGATGTGGCAAATGTTTTCGTGAAAGAAGCTATTATAATTATTAATATTAATACGTGGACCGAATTCGTTCACATCGATTACTTTAGAAAAATTACTCATGGTGGGATATTTCGTTCGACGTATGATATCAATTTAGAAATTAAGTGTGTTGCTTCTTGTAATAGAAATAATGTAGTTATCTGTCCACAGCAGATTTATAACTGAGCTGTTCACATTTCAGATCTATAGCAGACTACTGTAGAAGCGACATTAAAAAGTCCTCTGGTTCGCTAGTTAATATTGACAAACTGATTTCGGTATTTGAAAAGGTAACGAAATATGAATAAACGTTATTAAATAGAATGTTGCAAATAAACGCGCATGGGATTCTTATAAATTTTTCTTATAAATGTTATTACATGTAACTTGTGTATAAAAAAAAATATTGAAGAAAGAAGAAGTTGAAAGTTTTGAACAATCATTAATATTTTGAAAAAGTAAAAATATGAATTATTGTTGCTGTATATATATCTTACTAAGAAATATATACAAATGGTATACATGCGTCCTCTAAACAATATATATATATATATATAATATCGTAAAAATTGAAGAATGTATGTTAAGGTAATTAATAAATTACAATTCTTAACTGGCTTCTAAACTTTCTTAATATAGATATCGATATAGTTATATTTTATATAGTCCAAGTGCATGACACCCCACAATAAAGCACAAAACTTTATAATGTTATTCTGGAAATTAAAGCGAATAAAAAATCCTAATAACAAATATAGTATCGTAATTTCATAAAATATATTTCTTTTTTTGCTATTTCTAATAATCTATATATTTTTATAGGTATATGCTTTTAGTTATAATCCCGATGAATCATATTCCACTAGATATTAACTATTAAATATGATTTTTTTACATATTATTCTATAAAATTATACCAAAATATCCTACGACAAATGTAATATTAGACAAAGAGAGTTATTAAAATAAATTTATTTCACAATATTTTATATTCTAAATGGGAAATGCTTTGGAAAGACGTTATACTATTAAGTGTATTCTTTCCCAAGCGGAATCTTTCTCGAATTTTATCTAGTGATTAAAATATATATGGAAGAACTTCAAGAGTGAAAATCGCATTAAACATTGCGTATTTCATCACGATCCGTGTGTTCTCCCGTAACGTAACTATTGTTCAGTAAGCGTGTGTGTTATTTAATAAAAATATTCAGCATTCATTTATTAACGTTGACAACGAATGAAAATATTAATAATAGATTGCATTACTATTTTAAAATAAAACGAAGATTTCGTCATATATTTTAAAATAAAAAATATATTTTTATGCGAGTAATGTAATTAATTTCCTCACGTAAATATGTCATAGTAGAATGCATGTATATGTATATTTTTGACAATATTTCCGCATCCAAAGAAAATTTAACATATGTTATTAAAATATTAGGCAATGGTTTCGCGATATTGCAAATATTATAATATTTCAACTTTCTTCAATATTTTTAACTTTCTCTAGTAATTATGTAAATTATGTACACGAAAGGGTAGACTAAGGATTTTGAACGAAGGCACGTATCAAAGCAATTCTTATGTACCTATTATTCGAATATTTTGTTTATATTTACTGAGGTTTACGTATTACTGAGGTTTATGTAGGATTCCAAAAACCGTATATTTAAACTGGTTCTTCTATAATATTATAATTACATTAAAATGTCATTTTAACAACTTTCTATGCATCCAACGTATTCGTTTATTATTACCAGTATTCTTTAAGTTAAAACAATATCAAGTATAATGCCTATAGATAAACATAAAACGTATTTTACAATAGACATGTTTTGTTTTGCTTTTTATTCCTAAATGTATGTACATGAGTGTGTGCACATCATATGTGATACAATTGTAGAAGTGTGATATTTAATGCGTAAAGTAGATATTCGGTCATATTTAGCACGAAATTACACAGCTGATTTTCAGTCAAAACGAGGCTATTTGTCACATTTATTTATCGGTTATATATTAATTATTTCAGTGAAAAAAATGTATCCGGAACATTTTATAAGTATGTAGAACGAATTGCAAGAATCATTTCAATGATATATCTTTTTATTTAGCCGTTCGCAGGAATTTTGGACATGGTGTTCCTCGCTTCTGACGTCATCAATCTAATATGGCCACAGTAACTGATGAGAAAACTAAAAAGAAAAGTTCTATAAACAAAATATTGAAATTATTTTACTATTAAAATTAAAAATTGTACAATTATTTAGAACATTAAAAACTGGAAATACACTGGAACTATTGATCTACTTTAACTCGTCAAGTGGAACTATATATGCGGCGATGAGGAGAAGAATTTTAACAATTATAAAAAATTACTCCACAAATTACTCCACATTCTACATATATATATATATATATATATATATATATATATATATATATATATATATATATATATATACTCCATAAATGTATGTATCGGGTGTGTCAGTAACTATTGCTATTTGGAATATCTTCGAAACAAAGCTGGCTTTCAAATCTTTGGAGTTAGTGTATTTAAAAAAAAAGTGTCTTATGATGATAACGTTTTTTCTAAGTAGAATAACTTCGCAGACTTCCCTCCTCTCTCTCTCTCTCTCTCTCTCTCTCTCCCCTCTCTCTCGAGAAATTATATATTATTCTATCAAATTGTATATTATTCTATGAAATTATATAAAAATATTCTACGAGAAATTATATATTATTCTATCAAATTATATAAAAAGATTCTACGAAAATTGTAATATTTCATAAAGGTAGTTAATAGAATAAATCCATTTCATAATATTTTATATTCTAAATGAGAAATGCTTTGGAAAATATTATACTACCAAGTATACTCTTTCCGAACCGC